AGCATTTTCTGTTCTCCTAGTCTACTTTTTTTCTTATTCTATGTACGATATTTTGAACACCCCCCCGTAACCCCACATCTCAAACGTTTCTAATGATAAAAAAACTATACCATATCCATAATTAACATACTTACTAATTAAGAACAAAAATTAAGGAATTAGTGCAAATAAATAATATCTACAATTTGGCGATACTTTTTATCATATAGGCGTCGGAGTTAAATTGGGATAAAGATTAACAAATCATTTATGGCTTTTTCATTGAATTTGCAAATGCCAGACACATTGTTTTATTACTATTACCTATGTAAGAACTAAGACCAGTTTATTACATGTAGAGAAGATGCAGGCAAAATAATACATCCTTATTAAGGTAAAACGGGATATTGTTGTTATAATCTGCATATTATGGGTAAACATCTAATGTCAATGTTGCTAGCATAACTGCTTTTAATGTACGTACGTACATTGAAGTTGTATTTTATGGTTTACGCTGGTTTACAAGGAATACTTGTTATTTAAGTTGTGCCCTTTTGTTGAATCTTAATTAATGTTGCAAAAGTATATTTTTGAACGCCATAGGGATATGTCTGAAATTGTACAAATGTTGTTCTTTCACTCTAGAGCAGATTTACCCAACACGTACCGTCAATTGCGATCGACTGGTCGATCGTGAAGCAATTGCTGGTCGTTCATAATCGACTAGAGGCAATCTCAATTTTTTTCATTGAACAATGGCAAATTTAAGTGATAGTAAGTATTTGGGTGATATATTTAGCATTACTTACGGATTGTCCATTGAAATTAAGTAACTAAAATATAATAATTACGAAGAAAAACAAAATATTAATAGAAATGACGATCATATGGACCTAAAGCATACACAACAAAATTTATTATGTTAATAAAACATCGTCAACAAATTAATTTAAATCACTTTCCAAACGTGGTCGAACCAAATAGTCGCAACATGTGAAAAAGTACATTGCAGAAATTAAATAGAAAGATGAAATTTTCTTATCCTTTCAAAAAGGATTTGAATATGAAATATCATCATCATCATAAGGTCGTCAGTCCTAAGACTGGTTGGACACCCACTTCCACTCGTTCCTATTATGAGCTAATCTTCGCATTTCCCTATAGCTAGAACAACGTACATCCTTAACTATTGGTGAACAGTAATCTAATCTAGGTTAATCTCTACCCCTCCTAACTCCCGTTTCTGCCTCTAATATGAAATATGCTTACAAAAAAATGTCGGACATCTTTCACATGAAAAAAAAAGGCGGTTGAACAAGAAATTGTAACATCACAAACTCATCATCTTTAAAGCCAACAGGAGGAAGACTTTTGGAAATATCCCAATATAACCGAATAAAAAAAATTTTATTCTTGTTTCGGATCTAAACACTTACGTAAATCAGCTGTTTCATATTTAAAGTTAACGAGGATTTTACACTACTAATTCTCATATTGCATTCATTATCATTGTCTTCATCTGGGCATGCATCAACTTATGATTCCTTGGTTAGAAACAGGTATCCACATCAGGATTCTTATTAAAGATAGGATAGAAAAAAGAAGTATAATTCTGTATTTCTTTGAAGTTACTCCTCAATTAAAGCTTAGTTGGGTGCGTCGAAAAGAAAAGGTTAGAAGCGTTCGAAGAGTGGAGTTACCGGCGAGTGGATACCGTGGATAGAGAAGGTTAGAAAGGAAGAGGTATTAGAAAGAATAGGAGAACAGATAACTATATGGAAGTCATTAAAAAATATGCATAAAAAAAAAACGAAGGAAAAGATTTTGCTTCAAGGGTTTACTTTAAAGTAAAAGGCTTTGCATAATTTCTATTCATAAAAAGAAGCATCGGCTCAAAAACTAAAGGAGTTCCTTCTAAAAAAAAAAGGAATCTAGGTTTACAACAACTTTTCTCGCTATTTTCAATTTTTAAGTAGCTGCCCAGATATCACACAGCTTGTAACGTAAGAATTTATGTATTTGTAGGACTCTTTTTGTGTTAAAATCTATCTAAAAGGACTTGTATAAGTAATCATCATCACCGTGACAGGGTCGTCAATTTGAAGACACACACCGTCATATCTTCCTGCCCAGAGCCAATCTTTGCCTTTCCTGAAAACTATTAGAACATTCTACATCCATAATTATCCACTGATTGTTTTGCCCCTCTTTACCACTGTTTTAGCTTCTAATCTTGTCTCAAAAGGTGTCCTACCTTATCTCTCCTTATCCGTATTGACTTCCATAGCGCCTTTTATTCCCTTACCTTTCCGGATATCTCCTTTTTTTTTAATTATTTTTAATATTGGTATATTTACTATCCTTCTATAGTACAACAACAAACGGACGGATAAAAATTCGGTCTAGATGTTTAGAGGCTGTGTTTGCTTGAATGCGTCTTCAATTTCCAATAAAAGCATTCCACTCGATTTTTTTCCCAATTGAACCGGATGATTGATCTCGCCCTTAAGTGAGGCTTCCGTTATAAACATTGGTGTTATTTTTACGTAATAAAAATCAACACAGAGAAAAATCGACGCACGTGCAAGAAACGACTTTGGCTTCCGGTGATAAGAAAAATAAAAATTTTCTCTCTTTGTGCAATCAATATTTGGTGTCCCTTTAGACTGAATTGAGTTGGATTTTCAATCGCGTTCGCTTTTTCGTTCTACGTCAAAGGACCAGCGAAAGATATACACTTGATTGTTTTTCTGTTATTCCCACATTCGGATACAATTTCATCCTCTCTCTCTTCTCTCGTCCCTCGATCTCTGTTGTGTTCGATCGTCCGTATCCCTTTGGCTTTTTATTGAATACCGACGTGCATCTCCCGACATGCGACGTGTGCTTTTGATCCGAGAGACAGAGATGAAAAAAAAAAAACAAATTCGTTCGCCAATCCATTGTTAACTTTGATGAACGTGACAAATTTTATCGAGGCAGCAGTCAGAATGTCATAGATCAGGTACGCTGAACGTGTATTTTTGCAATCGAACGTCAGTAAATTAAAAACTGCCGCCATTTACGTCCTATTTTCTTAAATAGTAAGCGATTATTTAAACCATTTACTAATTCAGACCCAATTTGTAAAACGACGCGATGCGATCCCCATCAGCGCTGTAACACGACAAAGATACAGATGAATTGGCAGCGGGGGAGGAACACAAAGTGTCAAAGGGTTTGTGCTAGGCACCATTAAGACTTTGTTACGCTTAATTTAATAATAGTTTAATTGTTTCTGGCCCTTTAGTTCCTGATTTTTCATTTTAAAAAAGTTTAAGTTAGATTCCTGACTGTTACCTTTAAATTATGTACTTAGTTTTTTCAAGGGTGGCGGTCAAATAATTAAACAACTTTATGTTTTTTGTAACGTTTCGGTTTATTCAACCATCTTCTGACTTTTGAAGTGTAGCTGCTTGTACACAGATATTAATTTAATTTTAAACATTCTTTCAATTTGGTACTCCTGCATACCAGTATTATTTGACCGCCATCCTGGAGAAAACTACATACTAAATAACGATTAGGAATGTAACTTAAATTGAAAATATGCCTAGGCCAAACGGCAAAAATAGTTCTACGAAACCATGTCACATCAAACGTAGATATACAAAACCAGAAAAGTATGCAGTAGTTCAACATGACAGAATGTTTAGAAGTAAGTTAGGTAAAGGTCTAGATGACGGCCCCCCGAAGGGGTGGGGGGATCAAAAGAGGAGGTCTCCCCCACCACTGTACCATAAAAAGTTCGCGGCGGTCTCACCCCCATAAAAAGTTATGGGGGTTCAAAGTTAATAAATATACCAATTTTTATACATTTCTAGGCATGTAAATATTTATATAGTCATTCTTAAACAATATTCAAAGGTAAAACTAATGANGCCGACTTCGCAAAATCGCAATCAATCATGCCATCACGTTTGCCGTGATATCGGCATCATCTGGCCATTATTCGACGATATCGTGGCACTTTTCCTAATGGATTAAACCATTACAACAGCGAATAGATGAAGGAGTGCTCAACCCGTTTTTCAGATAACAATAGCGCCGATTGTGATTAAATTATTTACCATTTTTTTGCTGTTTTAATGACTTACAAAGGCGTTTCGAAATCGCGTTTTTCATCTCAAGACGCTAACATTGAATTTCACGTTAACGCAATTCCAATTTTTCGAAATAAGTATTTAATTTCATAATAGAATCTTAACAATCATCACTAGTGATTCACGAAGCCCGGCAGTTGCCCCATACGCATTTTTAGTGAACATAGAATACGAGACCATTAATATGATTGCTGGTACATGTTTCTTTCGACTTTCGACCTACCCAACTCCGAATTGCTATTATTATCTACAGGTACAGTATGTATTCACTAGTGGTAAATTAACGAGGAAAAATTGTTGCTGCTGTCTTACCCTCGCCGGGAATCGAACCCGGGACCTTTGGCTTTACGCACCAATGCTCTTACTACTAAGCTACGAGAGGTGACAGCAACAACAACGACTAAACATACATATCAGGTCACATATATTTTATTATATATAATCATCAAAGAGCGATATCATCTTATCAAAAATACGATGCGGTATTGGAAAATTCGTACAAATACCTTCAGCCATCTTTTTATATATACATGTAAATAATAAAGTAATCAAAGACCAATAAGTACAGTTTAAAATTTAAAAAAGTAAGTGAATGTTTTGCTTTACGTGTATATATATAAAGTGCAGACTGATTGACCAATTGGCAATTCTAATTTAAGTTTAATCGGTTTGTACAGACTACGAATGCCAGTAACGTAAACGTAACCTCAATAATTTCACAGTATTTTTGAATGCCACTGTCACGCGTGAACTACCTGAATCACCTTCAATGTTTAGAAATCCAATTTTACACGGAAAATTGATTAAATACGTATGAAAACATAAACGAAAAATTACGAATTAAGAAAGCGTAAAAATGTAACAATTAATTTTTCGTACCTGTATTTGCTAGACTGACGAAAACAGTGAACGAAAAAATGATCCCCTCCATCCCCTGAAAAAAAAAAACAGTTAGAAATTAATAACGACAAATAAAAAATATGTATTGAAATTTCATTTAATTAAATTACGATTAATGTTATCTGCGAAATCATTTACGAATCAAATCCATCAGCCAAATTGGGGGAATACGGTGTTTTAATATCACAAACAACATCCACGTTTTGCCTGAAATATGTAATGCAATCTATCCTGAAAGAGCTTGATACATTAGGAGCGAAACGTAGGAATTGTTTGTGATGGATATAGTTAAGTTATTTTGTTGTTCCCATTTTGGTTTTGAATTCTATAAATATTTACACGTTTATGAAAGTAAAATTCTACATTAGTTTGAAACAGAGCTAGTGTCGTCAAGCACTAATCCCAAAGTTCTTACCTTAAGTGCTTTAGCTTTTGAAGCCCCAACTACATTTTAAAATTCAAAGACTTCCAATTACCAATTACTTGAAATCACTATGAAAGTGCTTCAAACTTTGTAACTTTATGAATATGCATCATACCCCGAATTGTCAATTAGTTCGAAAGAGGGTGTCCATTAGTTACGTGAGGCGTTTAAAGGTGGGGGGGGTCGATCAGAATAAAAAAATACGCATTTTAAAAAATTTCAGGCGAGATGCGAGATGGGGTTGAGCTAAATCCCACGACATCTCACCAAGCGGGGAGGGGGGTCGAAAAATCAGCGAAATCACCTTCAAAAGTAATTGGAATTAAACCCTTTTAACTATGAAAGTGCTTCCATCCTTATGAACATGCTTCAAACACTTTGAAAGAGCAAAAAGGGAGGACAGAGACACTCTTGGAACGGTACGTTAAAGGGAGGGATTATCAAGGATCAGTTTTGTTTTACATTTATTCGGAAAATTTTAATTATGTGTGAACTGGACATCTTAGAAAATGCGTTATTGTGAAATTCATTCCATTGATTTAATTCTTTCTTCTTCGTAAAGTTTTAGTTTTGGTCCAATATTCTCATATCCGTAGTCACTCTAGATTTTTTGCTCTTGTTCTGTGCGGCGGTTTCATTGAAAATTCCATTAAGGGAAGCAGCTAATTCGTTTCCTTTCGAAAGTAGGTAGTACATTAAGGATTTCTTTTCTACGGAAATATTGTTTTATTGTAGGTATCGTTTTAAGGATTTTCAATTTTTCTGAGTGCTTCCCCCAAGACAGATGACTAATATTCCGTACGTTGGAAGAGCTTTTACAGGTAACGCATATACTTAGCTAGCACACGTAGCGGGTGAGAGATGGTATTTTCTATCCTCAGGATCCAAGTAGTAGTGGAAGTCAAAGTGTATTATCGGGAATGGCTACACATATAGCATACATATAGTAGGTATTAGACGGGAGATAACGTGCCGTTCCTGTTCCAAAGATCATCGTCATAACGGGCCGTCAGAGGCGAGAGGAGGTGGCGTCCCGACGGCATCTCTCCTACGCCCGCTTCGATGCCGCGCCGACTTCGCAAAATCGCAATCAATCATGCCATCACGTTTGCCGTGATATCGGCATCATCTGGCCATTATTCGACGATATCGTGGCACTTTTCCTAATGGATTAAACCATTACAACAGCGAATAGATGAAGGAGTGCTCAACCCGTTTTTCAGATAACAATAGCGCCGATTGTGATTAAATTATTTACCATTTTTTTGCTGTTTTAATGACTTACAAAAGCGTTTCGAAATCGTGTTTTTCATCTCAAGACGCTAACATTGAATTTCACGTTAACGCAATTCCAATTTTTCGAAATAAGTATTTAATTTCATAATAGAATCTTAACAATCATCACTAGTGATTCACGAAGCCCGGCAGTTGCCCCATACGCATTTTTAGTGAACATAGAATACGAGACCATTAATATGATTGCTGGTACATGTTTCTTTCGACTTTCGACCTACCCAACTCCGAATTGCTATTATTATCTACAGGTACAGTATGTATTCACTAGTGGTAAATTAACGAGGAAAAATTGTTGCTGCTGTCTTGCCCTCGCCGGGAATCGAACCCGGGACCTTTGGCTTTACGCACCAATGCTCTTACTACTAAGCTACGAGAGGTGACAGCAACAACAACGACTAAACATACATATCAGGTCACATATATTTTATTATATATAATCATCAAAGAGCGATATCATCTTATCAAAAATACGATGCGGTATTGGAAAATTCGTACAAATACCTTCAGCCATCTTTTTATATATACATGTAAATAATAAAGTAATCAAAGACCAATAAGTACAGTTTAAAATTTAAAAAAGTAAGTGAATGTTTTGCTTTNGCCATCAATGCTCTAGGTCATGCTGCTCGGTCCTCGCTGTTATTTGTTTACTGAAAATATTACGGAAATTGGTATTGATAAAGTTCGACAGATAAAAATAACTTGAAGATGGTTTGAACTTTGAACGATATTCATGCTGATGCTAGACTGGTTATAATTTCTTATCCTAGTTAAAATTCAGAAAGTATTTCGGTCGGTTTCAAAGAAAAAGAAAGTGGATATTATTCCTTATTGACCGTTCTATCCTGTGGCAAGAACTCCCTGTAATCGGAGAAAACTGTAAGCAAAACCTTCTCATTTTTCGGTTTTGGCTCGTACGGCAGGTTCCATTGGGATGATTGAGTTTTGGTTTCCACGTCATAACCATAAACCCATGATTCGTCACCAGTTATGACCCTCTTAGAGTTGCATCCTAACGTTTCGCTAGCACGAGAACCAAGCTTCAAATCTTGCATCAACACACTACACTGTCAATATTATTCATTTTCACTACCAAGTATATTCATCATAAGATCGTCAGTCCTAAGACTGCTTGAATACGCACCTCCACGCTTTTCTATCCTGAGTTAATCTTCGCATTTCCTTAAAACTAGAAGTTCCTACATCCTTAACGATTTGTGAACAGTAATATAATCTTGGTGTACCTCTTATTCTCTTAGCTCCTATTTCCGCTTTTAAAATGTCTCTTACTAGCCCTTCATGCCTGAGAACGTGTCCTACTAACATATCTCACCCATTTCTTGTTGATTTCCATAGCGCTCCCTGTTCTCCTACTCTTTCATACACTCTCTCATTTCTAATCTTCTCTATCCTCATCACCGGCCTGTAACACCACATTTCAAACGCTTCTAAGCTTGCCCCGTCCACGTTTCGCACCCGTACTTAGCTGTATTTCGAAATTCTATATTTATCGTTCACGAGCATAGTAGTGACTTCTTTTTGTTAGTGGGGACAAAGACACTGCACTATCCGACCATTATGAAATATTTAAATAAACATACGTTTTGTAAAACTGTGACGAATTTCGCGAGCCTCAAAAAGCCCACATGTTACATCTCCTATCTACTACTTTCATCCTGAATTATTTCACTTCCAAGATACTTGAAATCAGCGACCATTATGAAATATTTAAATAAACAAACATTTGTAAAACTGTGACGAATTTCGCGAGCCTCAAAAAGCCCACATGTTAACCACCCTTGTAGTAGACGGTAGCGGAGCGGTATTCTTTATCTATGATCTACTTCGAAAACCCCCAGGGTGCAAAACACTCGGTTAATTTCATCAGGATCCGTCACTAGGTGGTGAATTGTTTTTGCTACCGACTGTTCGTTATTTTGCATATAACCTAAGTGGCCACATATACAACGTCTAAGTACCCTACGACATGAAAGTACATGTCCCGCACTACATAATTCTTTTTTTCCCATCGATCTACTTCAACCCCCTATTCACACGCGACCTTTTTTTTTCCGCACCAAAGGAACGAGATTGCTTTAATAAAACGCGCGCTACTTGACATTCCCTTTTTATACATACAACTAAGCGACACATACTGTAAATATGTGTTGTGTAATGTGCCGAGTCAGATAGGAACCAATTTTTTCAGACTTTTGAAACAAATAGACAAGAGCATTTTATTTTTTTAGATATCTAACTTATTTATAAGAATTACACATTCAACTAAAAGTAAGAGGGAAGTCAATTTACCCTCAAAATAAACAGTCATACTAGTAGTCACATCAGGACTATATGGTAAGTTATCTTCGGATACATATCTTTTGTGCGTTATTAAGTAATAAACTGTAAGGATTATCTCGCAGGAACTGCTTTTGGAACCAAAAATTAAATGAAGTTCTGTGGAACAATGTACTAAACAATTAAAACATTATAACCCAAAATTCCAAATAAAACGTTTGGAAATCTAGTCACACAAAGTGTCATCCTGTATTAGAGATTAAATTAAACGAAATTGAGGAATTATACACTAATGCTGAATTGAGAATCGAACACAAGGATATCCTATCACATGCAAATTATCGATGAAAAAATAGCAGTTGTTAATGAGTGACGAGCAAAACAAGATCAAGATCAAGAACAAGACCGTTCCAATCTTACACTTCCTCCTAGGAAATTCTTGTAGATCCCTTCTTTCAAACAGTGGTTAATTTATTTTTATATTTGTTCTACATGGGATTTGTAAATTTAGAAAAAGCTTTTGGCAATGTTAAATGGGACAAGATGTTAAATATACTTAAAAATATAGGGATGAGTTATAAAGATAGAAGAGTGATACCTAGTTTGTATAAAGAGCAACAGGC